GCAGGATGATATGGTGCCACAGCATACAGGATTAATTGCTGGGCATGGTGCTTGTGGCTGCTGCATTTCAGCAGAACCAGGAATGGTTCTGTTTGGTGTTTCAGTGGGGCTCTGGAGCTGGATGAGGTCCTAACTGCAGCTGCTTTTTGCTCTGCTGTTTGCATTGTTTGGAAATGCTCTTCAGGTAGTTTTGCTAAGTTTACCTTGTGCATGGCCAGGGGAGCAAGCCCTTCAAGCAAGGGGTAGCTCAGCTTGGTGAAGAAGCATCTGAAGAACCCCAGGGGCCTGACCCACTTCTCCCTAGAGACCCTTTCACTGTGCTCTGTAGAGCTGTGCACTGGGTCTCTTAGCATCCTGCTCCCAGCGACATGTGCTTCGCGTGGGTCCCAGAGGGGTCTTGGCGAGGTGGGGGCGGAGAGGCCGAGGGAGGAGGAGCGGAGGTTTCTGTCGTTTCAGATGCTGGTGAGTGGAGGCAGGGCTTCCTTTCCTTCATCTCACACAGCTCTGCCTTCAGCTGCGCCTTTGGCTGAGGTTTCCGTGGGTGCCGCGGGCAGGACGTGGGATTGCTGACCGGGAAGCACCAGCTTTGCAGCTCTGCTGCGTTCACCCGTGGAGGTGGCACGGGACACGGCATGCACAAAGCTGCCCTGTGCTCCGTGGCCCTGGGCAGACATGAGCAAGAAAGATTTTGCTCAGCTTCGTCAAGAACACGAAACAAGTGGGATTGCGTTGAGAGAGAAAACTCTGTGTTTAGTGTGGGAGCTGCCTTTCTAGTGAGTCGTGTGAAATGAAGCATTCAATTTATCTTCAGAGACTTGCTAACGTGTCATGACTTACTGGGAAATTAACTTTTGTCTTTTTATTAGATATTTGACTGGTTAGAATGTAAGGTTGTTCCCTAAAAGGGGTTCTTTTGCATTGTTAAGTCAAGGTTTAAACAGTGCGAGGCTTTGCTCTTTGGAAGAGGCTGAGATTGTAGCTCACTCACCTGCCCTGGGGGACTCTCCTACGTTTTGGCTAACTGTGATTCAGATGTGTTTTGGGCAGTTAGTTGTAAGGGAGATGGTATCAACTTAAGTGCTGCACTTCCACCTTAAAAATTATTTGGTATTGCTATAAGTATCATATAATATTCCTAAAACTTAACAGACGTTAGCTGAAAAACTGCATTTAACAGCAACTTATGTATCGTCAGTTCTGCAGTTTCAGACTAGGACTATTGTTACCTGTTAAGTTTTGAATGCCTTTCATGTGGGAACAAAGAAAAGAAAACTAGCTAACATGGGAAAAACTGAAACACAGGACTTAAACCGTATTCTTTAACAAAGCGATTGCATTTGGCTGTAGTCTCTCAAGCTGTTTCTAACAAGGGCTGGAGCTCAATCTAGGTGTCCCTGTATATCAACTAAACTATACTGTTTTTCTAAACAGTCTGTTTTCTGAATATCTTTTTACCAGGCCTGGGTAGAGAAGAGTGCATACGAGTTTTTTAATATTCTTAAACCAGCACCTTAAGAGAGATCTGAATTCAAGAAATTAAAAAAGTAAAATCAATTTTTTAAATTTTACTACTTGGAATTCTTGCATTTCTCTTCGCAGAAGCCTGACCACAAAAGCTGTGCGTGTGTCATGCAAGGGAATGAACCGAGCAGGGGCTTGTGAATAGGAGTTGCCTGAATGTAAAGATCAGCCAATACGCTTTGCTCTCTTTGCTGATCAGACAATAAACGTGCTTCTCTCTCACACACTTTGGATAATTGGAGGGTCTTGTCAGCGCACATCTCTTGCTTCCTGCACTCCGTACACAGTCTTTGCTCAACCCAACAGGGGTGCAAACAGAAAAAACAAACGTCAGCTGCTTTGATATCAGGGTATTCTGGGGCCAAAGTCTGAATCAATTCAGTAACATTACAGACTTGGAAGAACAGCAGTAGAAGAGCTTGCCCCCATCCGAAAGGCATTAGACAGAGTTCAGCTGTGCTTCTGAATAGCTTCAGGTCGTGTTAGATTCTTCTGCTGGGAGCCGTCAGCCGGGCAGTAGTGTGGCGGGTGATCTTGTTTCCACTGCCCTTCTCCTTGCCTTTGTGCTGGTGTCTGCTCTCTCAGCCAAAAAACCTTTTGGGGCAGGGATTCTTACCAGCTTGCACCAAGCACAGCAGGTGCCCGCAGCTGCTGGTAGAGAACACCCCTTCTACCTGGGAGGTAGTACTGCCTCATGCTGATTCCCTTTGAATGAGCTTAAAGGTGGGATCTTCTCCTGCCTTGCTTTCTCTGTGCATGCATTTGTTTCTCCTGTGGAGGGCCTAGGATTTTTCTTTGCCTTCAGTGTGGTGTTTGCCATTGATTTAACTGAATGCAAGGTTGAGCTGGAGACAGGACAGCGGACGGGTGTCGTACAGGTGTTCGTGTGCACAGCGGGCGCTGCTGCTAACATCCGTGAGTGACCAGGGCTTGCCTTCTGGCTGTTGGAAACAGCTTCTGGCCTGGGGACCAAAATTCTGCTATTGCTCTTCTGTGAAAATAATGCTGAGATTGGGCAGTTTCCTGAGCTTGTTTGAGCATGTTTGTCCCTGAGGTTACATATGTCCCATTGTAACTCCTTCGGGCCATTTGCTATAGTCATTTATCACATGGTTCTCTCAGTACGTTCTGCAAGTACTTGCAGCTTGTGCTGTGGTACTGAATTTTTGGCCATCAACAGATTATTTTCCTTGGAATTTACTTTCCTCGCCCCATTTTGCATGCTCGGCATTTTATCTCCTTAAGACATAATGCTGTTACAGGCATTCCTTAGCAATAGACGCTTATAGCATTATTAACTCCTTAGGCACCTTTCGAGAACTTGGAGGAAGGCCTAACCATGCAGCCGTGCTCACTCCTCCCTGGTCTGGCTTTGGTGGTTGTGCAAATGACGGACAGCGAGATACAAGTTGAGCCATGGCTTTGGGGGCCACCTGTCCCCATTCCCACTGCTTGGAAGTATGGGTTGGTTGTGGGGGGTCGAGGTATGTGTGTGCGGAGTGTGGACATGGAGTGGATCGTGTTTTTTCAGGGCTTCTCAGCCTACCCCTGCAGAGACATGAGCTGTCTCATCCTCGCCAGTGCCCCATCAATACCACAGTGCAGATCTGGGCATCGTCCCCCGAGGGGCAGGCAGAGCTGATGAATGCCTGCTGCAGCCCTGCTGAGTCAGAGCCAGCAGTTCGTGGGAGATTTCTTTTAGGGCTTGTAAAAGTACATAGGATCCTTCAGGATTATCCTGAACCTGATACTCTTTGACTCCTGTCCTGGCAGCGTTGAATACCTGGGTCTAGTCCCCAATCAGCTGTGATATAACAGACATTGACCTGAGATGGTGGGGTTGTATGTTGTTAGGTGTGATTTGTCATGCTTGAGTAAGGAAAAAATAAAACCTTATCAGAGCCTCAGTGGCTGAGAATGAGTTAATCTGGATTACAGAAAGAACCGAAGAGCTTTGGCTGTTAGAAAACCATTCCTTGAGATGCTTGCTAGGAAGTGGAAGCCTTTCTATTGGTCTTAAATGGTTGGCCTATCTGGTGCTGCAGGGACCCTCTTGGTGCTGTTTGCTGCTAAGGTTTGCTCTTTGCTTCTCCCTTAGGCCAGTCCTGAAAATGTCCATACCTCTAATTCCTCTACAAAGAGTTTATGGAAACTGTAGACCGATGAACTGATTTCACTCTGTGGAGACGTTGCAGTGTCTGCTGTTGGAAGGGTTAATTTCTTAAGGATCCCACCTGTGTTCTGTTGGCTTATCTGGCAAGCTCTTTCCCAGTTTAACCCAGAGAACACCAGTGTCTTGGAGTAAGCTGAAGGCAATTAATGCAGCTTGGTCGGGTGCATTAGAAAGTTTCATTCCAGTAGGCCTAGGAAGGAGCTGCAAAAGCTATGGGTCTTGGGGAAGTAGCAGATGCGCTGTTTTGTGTTGAGAGCACTGGTTGTGTTCGTCCATAGTGCTGAGTCTGCTCCAGAGCTCAGCTGCAAGTGCGGAGACTTTCATAAGAGAAAGGAAGAAATTTCAGTTCTGAAAAGGTCATACCTGAGCTCTTGTGTCTCGTTTTTCTGAGCGTGTGAAATGCAGCAGTTCTGGTGCTGATGCTCCAAGTCCTGCTGTGGAAAGATAACTCATGCAAAGGCTTTGCTTTGCCAATCTGTTTAACTGTTGTAGCTGCACTACTCCTTTGAAGTGACGTTTTAAACACAGTAAAAATGGTGTGTGAAATCACAAGGAAAGACTTGATAAAAATCTCTGCAGAAGTGCTTGTTCTAGCCTTGTCCCCTAGCAGGGCAAGTGGCTGTAACTCTTGGTCTGCCTTGGGGCCGTGTCCATGCAGTGGTCACTTTGCAGACAGTCCTTCTGTGCTTTGTCAAAATGGAGCGCTGCTTATAGCTTGAAACAGCGTGCCCTTGTATGTATGGTGGTAATGAGTGCCTTAATATGCTGACTTTTCCAAACTATTGTTTGGATACTGTAACCAAAACTGCTGTTTCCTCATTAGAATAGCTTTTGTCAGGGTATCTTTAATCAATGGACTCCCTAGAGAAGGTATTTTTAGAACTACTGTTTTATACCTCTTCTTGGAAGTTCTTTGCACTGCACCTTGTGAAAAGAAACTAATGAGATGCTGTGAGAGTTCAGGCTACTGTTAATTAGAATAGGTCTGAGGAAGAAGTACTGCACATATATTAACTTTATCTTGGCTCACATGTCCCCTCTCTCCCTCTGTCTCTCCTTTTCAGGTTGCACAAACGGCAGATGGCTTGGATGCTGACCTCTGGAAAGATGGCTTATTTAAATCCAAGGTCACACGATACCTGTGCTTCACAAGATCATTTTCAAAAGAAAATGTAAGTTGGTTTGCTGAATGTCTGCATGATTTGCATCTGTGCCTGATATGGTCCTATCCATAGGATGATTCATTTTATGGAGCCAATTATAATTCAGGCAGGCGTTTCACTGAGTTTGGGTGAGTCAGGAGGCAGACTGCAATGGCTGGATATTTGCTCTTTGTCTGTTTTCTTCATGGAAAGAAGTCACTGGCAAAATCTTCAATAAAAGCATCAGAACAGTTAATGTTTCCATTTCAACGACCTCCTTGCATTCCTGCTCTACCAATGGGCACTGCATGCTAGTAAATCTGATTAATTTCTAGCTCTTAATTACATACAGAAGTAAATGCTGTAGCTAACGTTAACAAAAGAAATGTTAGTTTCTGAATCTGGGGGCATGATACGTATTTTCCTGTAGGATTAACTTTTCATTCTTTGTTGGTTTTGTGCTGATTCTGGAAAACTTGACCATGTTGTACCCATGCTACCCCTACTTCTAATCTTATAATGTAGCTAGTAAGCTTAAGTTCATATCTGCTAGTGGCAGTTATCTGCCCACATCTCCAGAGATCGCATGCAGTGAGAGCCTGATGCCTTCTACTGTGTTCACTTAATTTTCCAGTTGAGGTTAGTGTGAAAACTTCATCTTTTTCTCGAGGAACTATTTAATTCTACAATGAATGCACTCCATCTAGTGGGTAATTCTGCTGTTCTTGGTGTTTTTGATATTCGCAGTGACTCAGTTGTCAAGAGTATGGAATACCATTTTGTACCTGTGTTTTCACCAATGACAGAAACAGAAAAGCAACTGCTGATCATGGATCTTGACAGGAAAACCAAGGGACCTGCCAATTTTCAGCATTTGACCTTTATTCCCTCTGCTTTCCTGCCTTCCTCTAGATTAAAATAAACCTCCAGAGCTGAGGGAAATATCACTTCCTGGAATAATTGTGCTTTTTGTCCCTGAGATAGCCCCAGATTAGGTAGGGAGGATATAGAACAGAAGGATTTGTCATCATTTGAGTATTAAGTTTATCTGCGGCTACCTTAAATGCAAGGTTGTCAGAAATAATTACAGGGTAGTAGCAAATACTGGCTACCAGAGACAGTGTAAATACCCTCAGTCAGTGCCTGTTGGGCTTTTGGCATGAATCATCTGCTCAGCAAGGTTTGGGAATATGTTCCTCATATTTATGAGGAGTGAATTAAAGTGAGTGTAGGGAGGAGAACTGACGGGGTCTCAGCTGTGCAGCTGATGGATGTGCGAGGTGTGGCACAAGCTGCTGCATCCCGCACCCCTGCGTTGCCTTGCAGCTCTGCGCCAGGGCAGCTGCTGGGCTTACGGGCACTTCTGAGCAAGCTCACGGGCAGCAGCCTGCTGGCTGCGGTGCCAGGGTTTGGGCGCTGGAGTGGAGCTCCTGCTCCTGTAAGGCACTGTTGTCATACCCCAATGGATGGGGAAAACCTGCCTCTCTTCTTGGAGGGTGGATTTCCAAAAGCAGGTCGGTCTTCTGTAAACTGCCTAGTGGGTTCCTTCCTGATGAAGCTCTTCTCCTCAAGTTAAACAGAACAGCAGCTAGTGCTGCTTAATATTGTAGGTTTTGTGTATGCAAGGGGGCTTTTTGTGAGGCAGAGATGGGATCAGTAGATGCTGATAGCAGTCTGCTGGCCCCCGTGAGCACACGGATCCGCATTTCTGCTTCTCTGACTGCAGGACGGCTGGAAAGAGGTTAAAGGCTTGGGAGGACAAGGGGAGCCATGGGGAGAGAACGGCTCCTTTGCCCTGTGCAGAAGGTTAGCGCAGCAAGAGCTTCCCCTCCCTCTCAGGCCACTCTGGCCACAGAGAGCGTGATGTGCTGCCCAGATTGGGACCTCTGAGGGTTAAAAGGTCTTGGACCTGCAGCAGTGAAGTAGGGCTTTTACCTCGTCTCCTTGGATGCTGATGTGTTGCTGCTCCTTGCATTGCAAGTTTTATGGCACAGGGAAGTTCTGTTTTTAACAAAACAATGGGAACTATTTTGCCCTGAAAAACTTGTAGTTAGCAGAGTTAATCCACCTGAGTTACTGGCTTTATAATGGAGATGGTCTGTAAGTATCCCTTTCTCAGAATGATTATGCTCAACAGCTTGGAGTATTTGACAGATCATAACTCATGAAACACTTGGGCGTCTTCCATGTATTGGTATTTAAGTGTCATAGCTAGAGGACCTAAATGACGCACCTCACAAGTGGAGAGGCTTCCTGCCCTTTTCTTTCGTCTTTATCCCAGAGAATCAATACTGACTCCTGGCCCTTCAATAGTTAATAAACTTAGCAGAGTCATCTTTTCTACCTGTCTGCTACTGATGGAGGAATGATCATCCGTTCAGCTGAAAGCTACCTGCTAATGTAGCACAGCCAGTCTGGATAAATAAAACATGAAAGATGAATCATCAAAGACCACTCTGTCTACCACTTGCTGTGCCAGGACTGTGTGAACTGACGTGTTCAGACTCCACAGAATCCAGCGCTGCTCACTCTGGCATCAGCTACCTGGGCGCAGGGATGGGGTGGCGCGGGGCTGCCCGGCCTTCCTCACTTGTGCAAGCAAAGGACGTGTATCGGGCTTGTGTGCTGCGGGGACAGGGCTGCAGGCATGGTGGCCCTCCTCCTAAGGAATTGACTGTGAAATGGAGAACCTTGAAAAAATCAATTGTAAATACTCAGAGCTGGTCTGCCCTTATTTCGAAGGTTGCAAATTTGAATGCATTGTAAAGTAGTTCAGTATAATAATTGGAGAGCAGAAATACTTTGCCTGACAGATTCAAACTATGGGAGGTACTTAGCAACAAGTAACAGTAAAACACACTGACACGATTAGATGGCTTAGGATGAAATTTTAATTGTTCTGTATTGCATTTCTGTTTATAAAGGCTGTGTAGTAACTAAAGTGTTTTTTTTTTTTTTCTCTTACATACAAGAATCCAGATTATTGGCAGCAATGTTGGCTTTAATGAGAACTGCAAAGAAAATCTGGTCTCTGAACAATAGCAGAGGCTGTCATTCTAAATTGTGTTTTTAGCTCTTCAAGCCTTGATTAATAGGACACGGCATCAGTTCAGAATTCGTATGGATTCCAAATGAAGTTTATCATTCCAAATGGCGTGCTCTTTTGGAGCTTGCCTGCTTTTGGAGCTAGAACCATGTGTATTCAGTACTAATTAGCTAATGCATGTAATAATTTTGGCTGTGTCTACATGAACCGTCTTCCCGTAGTGTTTCCTACTGTTGCTGTCACAGAAACGTCATGTTGCTGCTGTAGATGTAGTGTGAGAAAACTAAAGGGACCAGCTTAGTGGATGGGTTGTTGGTGGTGATACTTCGAACTGCCATGATTTCAAGAAGGAAGAATTTTGTTGTTCTTCTGAGACTCCAGATGTTACAGTTGTGGATGAGGTGTAAGAATCTGTGAATGTAGGAAGTTGCCCAGCATCTCTTACTCAGTGATCATGCCTAGCTCCTGCAGAGGGGACAGTTGAAGTGCTGGCATGGCTAACCTTTTGTTGATCTGCTTACCTTTCTATCAGTCAGCGGTCAGATGCAATGACGAGGCATCTTGGGGTTCAATGGGCAAGAAAGGGTGGGTTTGAGTTTGGTCATGTTGTCACAGTTAACTGTGTTTCTTCTCTCTTCAGAGTCATTTAGGCAATGTCTTGGTTGATATGAAGCTCATTGATATCAAGGACACGTTACCTGTGGGCTTCATCCCCATCCAGGAGACTGTTGATACACGTAAGTTGGTGTCTGTGCTTCTTGCATGTCTTGGGAGCAGCCACTCTTTTGTGCCTGTGCTGTTGGGTGATGGAGAGGCTGTATGCCAGGGAGAGGGGAGCTCTAAGCACTGCTGCTCTCTGGGGCACGTGCATGTTTAGGAACAGTGCCAGACTGGAATGAAACAGCCTTCTCAGTTTTCCTGTACTCTTCAGGTTTTTTAATACTGCTGCCCTGACTACCAACAATTTTCCTGCTAGAGCAGCACAGCTCCTAAGCAGGAAGGAATAGTTGGTTCTTCCGTTCTGCAAGGGTGGACTAGGTGTAGGAGGCAACAGAGCTGGTGTGCTGGGGGCAGATGTTCGCACGTGTATACAGTATGGAAGCCGTGCGCATGTGGTACTGTGTTCATGAAGGCTTTACACTACCTGCCAGGAACAGATGAAGGCCCATGTTTTGGGAGGTGGTGCTGGGGTTGGTGTGATATGTTTGTGCTTGAGAGAAGCCACAGGTGGAATGTCCAGGAAAAATATCATCCTGATTTCTGCAAGAGAAAAACAGCTTTCTGGAGAATACCTAAAATGGAGGAGTGTAATCTAGTCTTAGGCCAGGCTTCCTGCAATGTTTCAGCCAGCAGTTCCCAAACGATGTATTTGGATGGTAGCGGTAGCTGGAGCTGAGTCCAGATGCAGCGCTCTGGCCGACAGCTGGCATCAAGTGCTTTTGGCTTGCGTTGTGGAGGGGCCTGGGGACTAGCAACATGGGAGCAGACGGTGCAAGGGCTGCAGGGTACCATCCGCTGATGCTGAGCATGTGCAGTTACTGCTCAAGAATGTAAGTTGGCTGGTACCAGTTCTTGTCAGTAATGAAATCCAGGCTAGTTATGAATAGAAAGGAGTTAAATGAGTCTTATTTGCAGGGAATAATTCATCCAGGTCTGCAGCAGATGAGGATGATTTTTTTTCAGTCACTGCCAACCCGATTCTGGTTTGAAGCTGTGACCCAGAAGTGAAAGGCTCTGTTACCCATTACTGCTTTCCCCTGTGGCTTCCCCCTTCCCTGAGAGAATTGCACAGCACATGTGGGGCAGAGGAAAGCATCACCTTATCGGGCTCACCCTTGGGAGTACGGGACAGTTATCATATGTGTTGCTGTTGTTTTTGTAGAAGTCCTGGTGGAGAAGTGAAAAGGGACTTTGTCAGTATTAATTTAAAAAGCATTGGATTGCAACCCATGCAATCTTTAAAGCAGAGGCACTGTCTGTATTAATGAAGTGGTGCATTTCCCTGCCTCCATTAGCATGACTAAACACATTTCGATTGACTGTTCATAATATGTGTACTTAAAATTAGCTCTGGTTAAACATGTGTAATTAATGGATCTAACTCCTAAACCAAGTTTACTACAGACTCTAGCCAGGTGTGAAAGCGAGAGAAGACAAAAGCAAATAGCTTTGTGCTATTGTGGAAGTCAAATAATAAGAGGCACTAATTTTGTTCAGAGTTAAATTTGTGGTTATACATGTTTCTAGTTATGCTCTTCTCTTTTAAGTGACATTTGGCTTGTAATGAATGCATTAAATATAGCACTCTTTAGCAGATTCTGACAAAATTTACAGATGCGCAAGTCTAAAACCTGGGACCCTAAAATCCATTTTAGGCATTTCATAAAAAAGCCCTAGTTTTCTGAAGCAGGAGAAGATTAGAGTTCAGAGATATAGGTATTTAACATCTTTAAAAAACAGCACTGTACATGTGAAGTTGCCTGCACAGATGCTGAGTTGTGACTCACCTCACACTGCCGGGACATTTGTTGGTGCTGGTCCGACAGCATATTTCAACAGCCAAGATGGATTGCTATTACAAAGATACAGATTACAAAACAGGAGCCTATAGAGACAGGTCTGCATGCCATCTGTTGAAGGGAGGGAATATTTTTAAACTGAAGGATATTTATTCATATTAAACTGAAAGGGTTTTATTTTCCAGGTGCTTGTTTGTACTCGTTGGTAGCTTTCAGTTTCTGATTCAGGGACTGCACTTTTGATTTTCAGTTTATCAGTAGACTTCTGTGATGTCTCTCAAATGCCTGCATTCTCAATAGAAACCTCACCTTGCTCACATTCAGACTCTCACAGACTATTTGGGGCAAGATGGAGCAATGGTTTCCAAGTACTGCAAACCTGTATCTGCATGCTAGTACCGCGTGTTGTCATGCGACTGCCCCATAGCTGAGCGTGGGTAGTATCTGTATGCAGACAGACAGCACACACACATGAATCTGTTCCGCAGATGAGCCTTAACTCTGATGGGCTCAAGTTTTTTGTAGTGGATGACATGGAAACAAGTGAAATTGCTCTGTGCTGCATAGCAGGAAGGAGCTATGCAGGAGACTCAGCCACCCCGGGAGCACAGGTCAAGCTTGCCCAGTTGTGCAGTGGGGGATCCTAGAAATTACTGCTTTGGTTATTTGGTTCTAACCCTGCTAAGATACCAGGACAAATACTGTGGGACTATCGCTTTAGTGCTTGCTGGTTGAATTGGGAGAGAGCATTAACACTTAGGAAGTGTGAGATTTGGACAGACAACTTTTATTATTAGCCATTCTGCATGGCAGTCTGTTTTTCTGACTGCTGTTCATCTGGGTTTGGCTGGCTGGTTGGAAGCACTTGGCAGAAAAAACTGGCTGGTTTTGTCAGTGGCTTCCATGTATGTTCCTAGAGGCAGCCTCTGTAGCAGAAATATTTAGATATTGCTCTCCAGGCCAGTAAGGCAAGCATTACCTTGGAAAGAGAAAGTGAATATGAGAGGTATATGGAAGTGAAAAAATCACCTGCCATCTCTGTTCTCTGGTGCAGTATTCTGTGGCATGCATGATGTCTTATCCTTCTCTGTAGAGGGTAGTATGGACTATTGGTTTATCGCAGTGCCTAATAACAAATCTCGCACGCTGTTCAGAGAGCTCCTGATAGAAAATTTCTTCAGTCACTGAATTGCACTGCACTGTCTGGTTTGCTGACATATATCTGTTCTTTGGCTCCAGTTCCTGCTATAATCATTTGACTAATATTTGGAGAGACAATAAATAACATTTACACACTGATCCTGCATAAAAACCAACCTCTGTCCTGGGTTGTTTTTGCAGAAGAGGTAGCTTTCAGAAAGAAGAGGCTGTGCATTAAATTCATCCCTCGAGATTCTACAGAGGCGGCAATCTGTGATATCCGAATTCTGGGTCGATCTAAACAAGCCCCTCCTCAGTACACATTCATAGGGTGAGTACCCCTCACTCCAGAAGCTGCTCCTGTATTTTCTGTTGAATGGTATATGCCAAGGCTAAGCACTCTATTTTCCTGTAAATACTAAGCAGGCACAGCGTTTGTTTGTAGCATTAATGTCTTCTGTGTTGATTACAAAGGGAATTGAACAATATGGGCATTTGGTACCGGATGGGCAGGGTTCCACGAAATCATGAATCTTCACAGCCCACGACTCCTTCTTCCCAAGTACCGTCTTCAACACCAGCTCCTAACCTGCCTAGGTAAGTTTTCTGCTTTCCATCCTCTTCTGTTTCATGCTGCGTGGCATATTGTTATAAGCTGCTAGCCCAGTGGAACTGAGATCAGGGTACCACGTTAGTATGAATAATTACATCGCCTGACCTGATAATGAGGGAATGAGTTGTTCTTCCAAGTATTTGCAGTTCTGGAAGCTCCTTTGGCTGCCATTGCATAAAGACGTACAGGTGAAATAGAAGAAAAAAAGCCTACAAAGAAAGGAAGACAGTCAGCGAACTACATCCGCATTGCAATATTTGTCACACCTTTTCTTTGCTTTAAACTCTGTAAATGTCATAGGTTCTAATGCACGTGTGTTGGTTACCACCGGAGGGTGGGCCAGAACTGTCACCACACTGATTTCTCAAGGACCAAAGGGAGGGAGAAATGTTCATACAGGTTTTAATGCAGAGGGACACCAGTTTTGCCTTATTCAAACCATGAGCAGACTGATTTTGGAGAAGTGCTGGCCCTGTGTTTACTTTTCTTGGACCTGCCTACTAAGCCTCAGTCTTGCAGTCGGCAGTGAATACACGGAGCAGACTGCTCATCGTGCAGTGAATGACAGGAGCAGAACTTCTGGGCGGACACCGGCGTAGTGTCTGTCCACTGTTTCCGTAACTGTTATCCGTAACTGTTTTTATTTTTTAATAACTTCTTTATTTTTAATATAGATACATATACATATATGTGTGTGTGTATACATGTACATATGACATCTGCCCTATAATGATAGCTTAATTACTGGATTTCTCAGGACAAAACAGCAGACGCGGGCTGAGCTGAGCAATTTATATTCCTAGCTTATGATATGAAAACACAGCATCTAATGTGAGACATGCTCTTACTGATGAGGATAGTCACACGGAACTCCTGGCCCAGCCGTTGCCAGGGGACAGCACGTTCTTTACAGGTCCCTTTTGGCTTTTACTTAATAAAGGGAAAACATATTTTTGCATCAGTGCTTTATTAGACATTTGGTATGCTGCAGATATATTTACAGTATTACAGTAACTGTTGAGAGCTAAAATTTCAAAGGTGACAGCAGAGAGGAATTCCTGGGAGATTGATTCGTATACAAAGGTTGTATAGTGTGGTTAGGAAATAATCATATCCTTTGAAATCTTGATTTACAAGTCATTTCAGAGTTGATGGTTTAAAACAGCTGTAAATAGTTTCTGAAAGCTATCCAGTAACTTGTTGAGGCAGGTGCATATATTAGAGCCTTCACCCGTGACCCACAGAACACTTTTTAAAAAAAAAAAAAAAAAAAAAACTACTGTATTGTGGTGGCTTTTCCACCTTTCTGCATGGTTTGGGTCTTTATCTTTCACTGAAAGTTTTGCTCAGTGACCTGCCATACCTTGGCACGCTCCTTGCTGTCCTTTACTGACTGTCACGTGTGCTGCGGGCAGAGATCCTGCCTTGCTCTTAAAGCAGAGGTGGAGGCAGAAGAGATGAGAAGCTGACTGACTTCTGGAGTTTTCAGCCTGTTGCACTGCGAGCTGCTGTGTTGTTTTGAAATTCCAGTGGACACAAAGTACATGCTGGCAAAGGCCATGCAAGATCAGAGAAAGAGATGTCTTGATTTGACAGCACAGATCTCCTTTTTTTTGTCTGCAAGAAATTCCTGTCTGGGCAAATTTCCACAATAAAGAGAAAAATTATCATAGCAAGAGAATGTCGGTGGCAGTGCTTAATCACAAAGCGTGGAAGGGTCACTTTATGGCCGAGCAGGGAAGGCTGCAGAACAGCTTCAGAGCTATTGGGAACAGGGCCAAAATTAGAGCTCAGCGCATCAGCGACAGTCTGAAAAGAAGTGTTTACAAGGCTTATATATTTTATAACCTCTTGTTGTACAGTTTATGGTTTACAATGGCTGCAAGGAAATTGGATCAGTTTTGTTTTACTTGCCAAATAAAGCAAATGTCAAAATAGTCAATATAAAATGTATTCTAATTTGGCTGAGTTAAAACAGCCAGTATGCAGTGGAATAATTGAATGTTACATTAATGCCTCCTAGTAAAAACCACCTGTCTGTAGCCAGTTCTACTCTCATGCCCTGTGCATGATTTACAGGTAACTTTTACACCACCAGTCTGATCATTCAAAACATCTTTCATGTCAGTTTTTTACTCTGATTATTTATTATCCAATATATTTTTTAAGAAATAGAAATGTATATAAAAATGCATCCTGGGAATATTTCATTATTACGGGAAACACATGCTACTTGAAAGCCTTTTTTAATACTTTATCAGCAGTGTGGTAAGTTACTCAAGTTTGGGGAAGATTGTAGTCACAAGTAACCTCTTATTTTTACGTCACCGGAGAGATATGAGATTACACTGGTAGCCAGTTTGACATTTTATTCCATGTGGACGTATTCTGACAGGAACAGCAGTGAATTGTTTGATACTGCAATGAATGCTAAGACAAAACTGGTGAGCAGTGCGGAGTACAGCCCTATGGAGATTCTGCTTTTAGGCTGGTCAGTTATGTAAACTATTCTCTTCGGTTGCTAGCTAGCATTATGAAATAGATTTAAATCAAACAGCGTGCTTGGGTGCTTCAAAGCAATTGTTAAGGCTGGATGTAAACTAAACCAGTAAAGCATACCGGTGAGCTACTGCACAGCAAAACCTTTCTAAATGGAAGAGCTTTTTATTGTGGGAGATCTTTATTTTTGTACCAAACACATTTCCTCCTCTGATCCATGCTGTAATTTGCTGATGGCAATAGATGGCGGCACATCAGAATTTTGTCACGTAGCAGAGGTCTGGCCGCCACAGCTTGGTGGACATCAGCAGTGCTACTTCCTCCATGTGTGTCACAGGGTTACGACTCGCAGTCAGAACTGCGTAAGGGGAAGCTTTGTTTGGTGTTCCTGCTGGGCTGTGTATGTTATCTTTTAGCCATTTCTTCTCCTTGGTGTTTCCTGCTGCAGGCATCTGGCGCAATGGTCTCTAACCGCAGCCCTCACGTATGCCAGTGAGGATGGCCTGCTGTGCTGCGGAACGCAACCGCGCCGTTGTGCAAGGCGTCACGCTGCTTTAGTATCTTTTCTCTCCAAATTCTGCAACAGCTTCTTGGCACTAATGGCAGCCTGGAGAAATGCACTTGCAGTTCTCATCCTAGAAGGCTGCTGTTGAAGAACTGCTTTTGTTGACTTGAATCACCAGTGAGACTGTAATGCAACTTTCCTCGGTTCCTTGACTTCTCAAGGTTTGCACTCTCCAGTATAGATCGGTGATAATGCTGCATGGTGATAGCCTCACTTTGGGGGACAAGTAGGTCATCCTCCCCCAAAAGCAGGTGCTAATAACAGGCAATTCATCTGGCCTTTTGAATACCTTTGCTTCATCCAGCCTATGGATCAGCGATTGCCTGTGCATGTGTTGAGGTTTGGAGAAGTGTGCTTGTCACGAGTATCCGAGCAGTGTTTCAGAGCTCAGCCCCTCCCTGACTTGAGTTCTGCCTGGGAATAGGCTAGAAGAGAGTTTGTGTGATGTTCCCCTCCACACGTCTAATCTCAGCCGTTTGGGGAACAAGTCCTTGGCTTTCCGTGCACGCAAGCAGGGCCAATCTCAAGCCTTTTTGCCTTGCAGCAGCCCGTGCACTGGCTCCGGTCGCAGTTGCGGTGCTTTGGGAGCTCGTGTGGTTTCTTTGGTTGGTGAGTGCATTTCACGTCCCTTCCCAAGGTGCTGCAGGAGTCTCTGCCACCGTCATTCAAACAGTCCTCTCACAATTTGTCAGCGGCAAGCAAGATGTCAGTCAGTGCTGCTGAAGTGTGTTTTACAGTGACAGACATAATTGCACTTAACTTTTTGCGTGGATGTTATCAATCTGTGACAGATACTTTGGGAAATGGAGCACTCTGATTGCAGATGATGTGTCACAGGCGTTTAATCTTCCTCTCGGAGAGACCAGGATTCAGTCACAACTTTTACTTGTTGATGTCAGGTTTTGAAAATGTAGATTCGCACTGACCCTGGGAATCGTTCAGTCATTTAGTTTGCAGGGCTGTCATCTGAAAGGTTAATGGCTTACTAGGGAGAAGGAAGATGTTGCTGCAGTCAGCTGGTGCTCGTGTCGTGCGTTAGCGTGGCAGAATTCCTCCCGGCCTTCGGCCGTCAGGCTGCTTCATCCTTCCTTCCCAGGGCGTCTGTTATGCACCTCCGTGCCTTTTAATTGAAAAGGGGAGAGGTGGGTGAGGGGGGAGGACGGGACAGCGTTGAGAGGTGGGTTGCAGGACCGGAGCTGTACGGGCGCTGCGGGAGGCTGCTCTTGCCGTTCAGGAAGCGGAGCCGGGAGTCGCT